ATCCAATAACCAAGAAGCAACATTAATAATGACATAAAGGCAAGAGAGATTGAATATTTTCGACATCCAATGAGACATGAACAAACTTACTCTCTAAATTAGAAGGCTCCAAACCTATGGACCGAATGATGTAAAACTCACACTAACCAACGTTCTTCGAGGGCAAGACACATGAAGAAGTAGCGAAACGTTTCGCAATGCCTAGTCAGGATTTATAATAATTACTCAACACGCCGTTAAAGCTTGTTTAGCACTTCAAACGATACAGTTGGTTCTGATGTGCAAATTTATTGCAAATCAATTCAGTTGTAACTCGCACAATCTGGGCCCTAATATTATCAGACAATGTATTGTTAGGCGGGCAAAATTAATAAGAACACAAAGTAAACTGGGAATATTTTTTAAAATTCGTTTATCCAATTTATCAGCGTACCAACTTACGTGAAAAGATCGAACCATCTATTCATCCAATCACCACAAACGGCACATAAAGGACTAATAGGATTTAAATCCACTTCGAGAACGACTTAGAAAGCTTTCGGGTGTAGTTTTATTCACTAATGGTCAAATAAGGATCTCTTTATTTGAATTCGTGGGGAATTTAAATTCCGTATTTTGGGGTTAAAAGGCTGTCAACGTCGAATTTATAAATGAAAATGTTTTCCATTCATTCAACTCAATGGGTTTAAACTTGAAACAGCACACGGGAATACTAATTAATGGCGTTTATTGTATTTTCGTTAAAGCACTAAGCAAGTGGCGGAACAAACCGCTTACGCTAATTATTTTGCTTGGATGAACAGTCATATATTCATTTGAATTTTGCGACATTGTAAAAAAAAATTGAAAACAATTGCAAGGGGTCTTTCTCAAACGGTCCACTTTCACCTACTCTTCTAAAAAAATCGATAAATGAAAGGTTAAAACGCACACTGAATAATAATCATAATAGAGAATTATTCAATATTTCAAATAAATAATTATTTTTATTATAATTGTAACTGGGCCTAATATTACCTTACCAACAAAAGACTCTTTTATTAGTTAAACTGAAGTTTCTGGCTGGTGTTTCTAATTTCGATTGGAACCAAGAAATAGATCTGTTGACTCGTGTAACGGAGGAACATTTTTCTCCTGTTTTTTGATATATTTAGTTAGTTACGGTTAGTTTTATTTGATACGTAATTCAAGGAATTTTGGGACTCTAGACATTGTTTTGAAAATTCTGTTGTGTGTGACTTACGGTGTGCATCATGTTCTCATGCATTTCAAGCATAGTAAAGTAATATTGCCAAAAAGAATCAAATCTAGAATACAGGAAGAACATATCAAATAAAGTTCCTGGGAGACAGTGCTGTTGTCACTGCTGTTTATGGTTCACGTTTCAGGTTTACCGCATGGTATTAATGTGAATAGCTTATGCTGATGACACAAAACTCTTCGGATCCCAATGCATTCACAACAAGGAATAGAAAATTTTTTAGTAACTGTAAATGATTCGTGAGAACGTGCGAAAGTGCTTTGTTTAACCCATGTGTACCAAAGTTTCCAATAAAGTAAATGGGAAATGTTTGTCCGAATATGCAAAACCTACACTTGACCAATTTTAATTAGTCTTCCTATTGCAGATAGGATATGTTTTAAAGAGTGCAAAAATGAATAATAAAAACTCTAGTTGTTTTCCAAAACTAAAAGCTACGCTTGAAACTCGCAGAACATTTCATTGAATCTTAACAGCTTTATAGGAAACAGCAATACGGAAAATGAGTGGAACAGACTCACGCTTCACGCTAATCGGTTCGTCATATGCGTTTTTTAATAAAGACAATGACAAATGGCTTAATTAGTATTAAAATAAGGTGTCCTCTAACTGACGTTTTGTTTAGGTATTAATGTTTCACCCAGTTTACAGTGGAAAAGTTTGCATGTTTCGTAGCAATAAGTCGGATTAAAACAGCAACTTAACGTTAACGATGCGAGAAACAAAGCATTAATATGTTTTTTACAGAAAATTACACTCCAAAACTGTCGAACGAGCCTTTTATCTTCCTACCGCACATTGTAGCATTTGCCCGTTGTAATACTGGCAATTTAAATGTCATTATATTTTATTCGCGTGCGTACAGAGTGCTCTACATAAATTGCTTGTAAACGCTATACATAGTATGATCGCCTGGGCCAGTTGGAAAGTTTAAGTGATGATTAACTGCGGTTCAGTGGGTGAAAAAAATGCTTTACACCCATTGAGAATTTATTTTATCTATAATTAATTATCTCATATTATCTTATTATTAACAAGTATTATCTTAAAGGAACAAGGTAGTTGTCTATAAACTGGTATTTTTTCAATGATTTCTCCTCAAATGATAATGTACAGTATACTATTGTGAATAAATTAAAATATCATCTGACTGTACCTTGGTGGAAAAATTGTCAACTTATAAGTGTAACGCAATGATCAGAGCAGTTGTGCAGTTACGTCCCGTATAGTAACGTAATCAAAATTAGTCTTAGTAACATTTTTAGATGCGGATTTCAAAACTGACAAACAAAATTCCTATGCCAATTTGCGACATCCAGTAATGATAGAGTGAGTCACTAGCATCACTACACACTACACTACACTAGACGCTATGGCATATAGATATTTTCTTTAATACTTAATACTAATATTTTGAACTAGGTATATTGTCATTAAAAAAAGTTAATAAGAAGAGGCTATTCAAAACAAAAACTCCAACATGGTGTCCATAAGAAAAATTAATCATGACTTGGAAAAAACTAGACGCTGAAACGGTTGCTACGGAAATTGATCTATTTGTAGATTTCTGTTTAAATTTTAAGGCAAATTGTTAAAGAAAAGAAAATCTCACTTTTTGTATTTATGTATTTACTTTGTATCTCTTACGTCTTGCGAGATTCCCATATTGGGAGTCGAATTGGATCATGCGGCACAACGAGAAAGCATTATTCATGTCTATCTTGCAATATCTTGTAGAAAAAATTAATAATCTTTTTGGAGTTTGCATAAATTCACCAACATCTGGCTGCATAAATACGTTGAATAGTTGAATATATTTTTACAACAATTTCTATACCATAAATCTTACAAATTTTGTTGTGTCTCATAAATAGCATCACTTAGGTCTAATCGAGTGAACACGCATAGCTAGTACTGAAAATGTTAGCACTTCAGGAACCACTATATAAGAAGTCGATATTCAAGCTCCATACCATAGTGGTACTTCAAACATCCCTTTTAGCATGGCCGCTGAAATATGCCCAGATATTATTAGTCAGGCAAGGTTTAGTAGAATATGTGAATGTTTTTTTTTATTCCGTTCCGGTGGTTATGGTTAAAGTACATAATTGTAGAGTAAAAAAGCTAACTAGTTCAAGTACCAAAAAGTTATCAGTAAGTGCCCCTTCAGGTGGTCCATTTAAAATACGCCTTTTATAGTATAACATAACACATAACATAACCTTCGCATCAAAATTAATGCATCCAAGAAGGAATGGGTTAGCGAGCTGTAACTACGAGACTGAGTATTTTGCACTCGTCAATATTGCGTATGTTTCGCCATTTTGAAGCAACCAATGACCATAACCATAGATTTTTGCATTTTGCTTAGAGATAGCGAATTGTGATATCGCACGCTCACAATATCCAGGTCAATGTGTCAAAAGAGAATTTAAGCCTCAGAAATCCACCAACAGAATCGCAGTTAAATACAGTTCATATAGCCGAACAAGACTTCAATTCGCCAGGAAACACATAATCTGAATGGCTGAATTGTTTTGTATACTGGTGAAACGAGGTTTTGTCTCTACAGCAACCACCGATGCTTAAGAATTATTCGACCACTAAATGGAACGTTTTCCAATTCAACATTCGCCAAACGGAATTCTTTGAGGGATGTCCTGTGATGTTTTGGGCGAATTTGGGACTACGTTTAAATAGCTAGAGATTATCATATTGGAGCCCGTGGTCTAGGCTCCACGCAGTCCAGACCGCAACCCAATGTACACATTTATGGTATCACATGGGTAGGCAGTTTATGAATAAGCACGTGCCTCATTGAATGTTGTAGAAAAATTTTCAGGGAAATATGAACTAATATCGATCAAGCACAAAATTATACTTCTAGTTGAAGATATGTCAATCTCAATCGCTTATAAGATGTAGAGGGGAAAATACCCAATATTAGCTGTTTATTTGTTGCATTTTTATGATTTTGTATTCAATTTTTATTGGAATAAACTGTAATTACGTTTGAGGTAGAGGCAAAATGTGACAAACATTGGGTATAAAACTGTGCTTAATAACAGTAAACTTAAAATTTAATAAAAACGTCGTTTGTATGAATATGAATTTGAATTTGTAAATATAAATTTTACCCATTTTTGCACTTACAGCATTTAGCTTCGCCGTTCTAAAAATATATAAATGAAAATGATCCGGTATAATTCACCCCGTCGCAATTTACAATAAACACAAAAGGACCAAACCGGTAATTTGCGTAGTAGAAAACGGGGGACGAACGGTTATGGAGTCCTTGCACAGGGGGGAATCGAAAATTGATCTCCACCATTGTTTTAGGCGTCGGGTCGGCGTCGACGCCAAACCGACGTCGAGAAGACACAAAGGGAAGGAGCGTTACCCCGAAGCTGTAACCAATCGCGGGTTAATATCGACGAACATTGTGGATGGGGAAAAGTTTGCCTTGCAGATGGATCGTGAGAACGTGGGGGATAAAGGGAGGTCGTGAACGGCTTCGCGCCCGCAATTTTTGATTCGAAAACAAAATCGACTAGCGAGATAGATGCATTTTTGCGTGTTACCTACTCGATCGGTTCTCCTTTTTGAATGATTTGAACGATTTTGTGGGCGGTAACTTATTGCGTATGTAAATAGATTCGTTCGGCCAATTCGAAATCTCCATAAAAATGTTGTCCGCAGGGTACGAAATTCTATCCAAACAATCGACGTGTGTTTACAGGGCAAAACGGCGATGACTCTTTGAACTCGAAAGGCTCTAACGGCGCGATAAGCAAGAAACAAAGAAAAGCACGGACAGCGTTCACGGATTTACAGTTGCAGACGTTAGAGAAGAGCTTCGAGAGACAAAAGTACCTGAGCGTTCAAGATCGAATGGAACTCGCGGCGAAATTGAGCCTCACCGACACTCAAGTCAAGACTTGGTATCAAAATAGACGGTAAGTTGGCTTCGTTACGTTCTTTTTGATTGTGAAGATGTTATTTAGACATGATTTTGCAAAAATACTGAAGAGATGTAAAAAGAAGTTAGATGTTTTAAATTAATACGATGAACCTGATCATAGCCAGGTCCGTTTCTATTTCGATGTTAAGATAAAATAAAGCAAATAAAAAAATCGAGTGCGTAAATCAACGGCCGAGAAGGTACTACTGTATTTTAGTAATATTTGCGTATTTATTTTACTTAATATTTATGTAATATTTTTTATAAAAGATTTTAACTTTGACAAATTCAAGATATTACACTTACAACCACAAGACCCTGGAATACAAAATAATTTAAGAAAATAAAATGTTATTATCTCAAAAAAATACGCAAATATATACATCCTAAACACAAGAAATAGACGTTACAAATTCAGACCCTTTTGGTAGATACTGATTTGCCTAATAAGCAAATTATATGTTTGTTTGAAGGACTTTATTATGCTGGAGGGCTACAGCATAAGGTACTTCATTAAATAGTGGAACAGCGGTGTAGATGAAAGATCTCAGGGAAGCTACCGCAGTGTGTCTATGAACACAATATCTCAAAAAATGGCGGGTGTCTCGATTGTGCATAGTTTATCATACAAGTATTATTAGAGTTTAATAAAAAAAACAAAGGTGGCCAACAGAACTTTATAACGGTTTGAGCCAACCCGAATCAGATAGACACTAGCAAATATAGTCATAGTTTCGGAGATTATAACTAAAAAAATCGTTGGAGTCTCTCCTTATCTCGATTTAGTATATACTACAATAAGAGACATGGGATAAAAGTTTTTTTTTCACAAAGTTTAAGTTTGACTTCCTTACTGAGAAGAGAATGCAATGTCTTCATCATATGGAAGGATTTTTATAACACGGAGCCAACGTGTGTAGAAAACCACAAACCCTTGGTAAACCATAATCCTAAATTTTTACCACTGTCCGAAGAGGAAGAGATTACTTTTAGCATAATCTTAAGAGAGGCGTTTCTTAAAATTTCTTCACCTCTATTTCCAAATAATAACATATGCGTTTTAGTAGTATTCTATAAGAGGTCAGTCATGGACACTTGCGAAATTATGTTTAAATCCAAATTTATTTTAATAGCATTTAAAGCTTCACTAGCAACAAAAGATAAGGGTAAGACAAGATAACACAAGCTATCCACACATCAAAATTTTCCAAAACTCATTTTATAAAATAACTTTCTATGTGATGCGGATTTGCCATAATTTTGAATTTACCTTCATATTTTGACATTTTTTTATCTGATATTGTAGTTTTTAAATGCATTTAATGTGTTGTTCTTTAATTATTTGAAAAAGTAATATTATTTGATTAGGTTATCTTATACAGGAGTAAAACAAATGATATTTTTTGTCTAACACTTTGTAGGAACATTGATGTGGGTAATTTTATTTTTTATCTCTCTTATCTCTCTTCTGTAAAATACCCAATTATATATCTAGCATGCGGGAAACGTCACTTTACCACGTGAGTTTCTTGTCCCACGGATCCTAGACACTTCGGGCATTTCCGGGATATAACCGCATGAGTTTGGGAGCAATCGGATATTTTCGGAGATTTTACCGCACGGCTTGAATTTTGACGTTTGTCAATTCTGAAAGTGATGTCAGTGAATGTATTCGTGTTGTTTTGCAAAAATGTACCCAAAAACTAAAGGTCGTAGAAAAAGAGTATGCAACACGTTTGGTAAGCTTTTTAAGTTACTCGTTTATTAAACACTCTCTTTGCTCGTGCCAAATAAACTCGTAACTAAAATGCCATTTACCACACTTGTTGCATAATATACTATTACATACTGTTTCTTGTAGTCTTTGTTGTACTCTAAATATCTCAAATTCCTTCATTCCATTGTCTCATTTCTGATGCGAGCTGCAAACTTTTTATTAAAGCTATGTTATTTGTTTATGCAGCAGTATACCTTCGATCTCTTAAAGAACTAACGATGACAATATGATCAACAGCTGCACTGGTCATTTTGCTTCCTCTATTATATATATATATATATATATATATATATATATATATATATATATATATATATATATATATATATATATATATATATATATTTTACCGCACGGCTTGAATTTTGACGTTTGTCAATTCTGAAAGTGATGTCAGTGAATGTATTCGTGTTGTTTTGCAAAAATGTACCCAAAAACTAAAGGTCGTAGAAAAAGAGTATGCAACACGTTTGGTAAGCTTTTTAAGTTACTCGTTTATTAAACACTCTCTTTGCTCGTGCCAAATAAACTCGTAACTAAAATGCCATTTACCACACTTGTTGCATAATATACTATTACATACTGTTTCTTGTAGTCTTTGTTGTACTCTAAATATCTCAAATTCCTTCATTCCATTGTCTCATTTCTGATGCGAGCTGCAAACTTTTTATTAAAGCTATGTTATTTGTTTATGCAGCAGTATACCTTCGATCTCTTAAAGAACTAACGATGACAATATGATCAACAGCTGCACTGGTCATTTTGCTTCCTCTATTATATATATATATATATATATATATATATATATATATATATATATATATATATATATATATATATATATATATATAATAGAGGAAGCAAAATGACCAGTGCAGCTGTTGATCATATAGGTTTAATAAAAAGTTTGCAGCTCGCATCAGAAATGAGATAATGGAATGAAGGAATTTGAGATATTTAGAGTACAACAAAGACTACAAGAAACAGTATGTAATAGTATATTATGCAACAAGTGTGGTAAATGGCATTTGAGTTACGAGTTTATTTGGCACGAGCAAAGAGAGTGTTTAACAAACGTGTAACTTAAAAAGTTTACCAAACGTGTTGCATACTCTTTTTCTACGACCGTTGGTTTTTGGGTACATTTTTGCAAAACAACATGAATAGATTCACTAACATCACCTTCAGAATTGACAAACGTCAAAATTCAAGCCGTGCGGTAAAATCTCCGAAAACATACGATTTCTCCCAAACTCATGCGGTTATATCCCGGAAATGCCCGAAGTGTCTCGGATCCGTTGGACAAGAAACTCACGTGGTTTCCCGCACGCTAGATATATAATTGGGTATTTTACAGAAGGGAGATAAAAATAAAATTACACACATCAATGTTCCTACAAGGTGTTAGACAAAAAATATCAGTTGTTTTACTCCTGTATAAGATAACCTAATAAAAAAGTATACACTATAACATCAGATAAAAAAAAAATTGAGTCAAAATATCAGGGTAATTGCAAAATTATGTGCTGGCAAATCCGCATCATATAGAAATAGCATATGTTATTATTTGGAAATAGAGGTGAAGAAATTGTAAGAAACGCCTCTTTTAAGATTATGCTAAAAGTAATCTCTTCCGCTTTGAAAATTTTAGGTATCATGAAAATAGTTTTCCAGTTGCAAGCGGCAAGGTTCTACAATTCACGGCTGGCAAGTTTTAGAATGAATAAATTATTAAATTCCTGATAAACTTTTAAAATCCGCTATAATCGGGAAATTCACCAAAAAAATACTGGACTTGCCAAATTATTGTGAAACCTATTACCGCAACATCATTTCAATCAAATTGTTAAGACCGGCTTTGGAACTATATTATTAAAAAATTCTGAAAGGTTAATGGCTATAAATGTGTAACGGAAATGGCATTTTATGTTTGTTACAATTATGTAAATCACATATCCGGAGAGATAAATGATTTGTTTAAACAGCGGTCGTGCCGTGAAATTATATCCTATACACGTTGAATGGAACGAGGATGTTTCATTTTTCTTCGGCCACAATAGCGGTTGCCCTAGCGATTTTTAACCAAAAAAGTTTGATTTCGACAAGGACAAAAGCATGTATGTAGTATTAAAGACGTAGGGTAGAAGAGTTCTATTATATCATTATTATTCTAGATTTTCGTTAACACAACTTCATACCATTAAATTGTATTGGATAGCCCTAGAGAGGCAGTTCTTACTGCATGTTGTTTTTATCCAGTCTAGCCCAGTTTTAGTTCATTTAATTACAAACCAACAGTCGCCACGCAGGGGTTCAGTACTATGCGAGAAAAAAAATTTGATACCAGCAGTGAAGTTAGATCTTAAACCATATAGTACAAAATCAAGACAAGATTAAGTATGCTACTCATAAACAGTTTTTAAAATTAATCGTGGCATCATCCATTAAAATTCATTAACGTACTTTTCAAGGTGTGTACTGCTCGCAGTAACAACTGTCAAAATCCCATTATGGAAACCACCTGTCAGTAACAATAATTGGCTAATTAAACCATATGGGTTTAATATGATTGCGCCAACATTTAACAAACTCCAAAAACAAACAAAATATACATGAAAAAGACTTCGTCGCACAGTTTCATTACTTTTTTTCGTGAAAATGATTATTATAATTATTATTATAATAATGATATATAATTATAAAGAATAATTCGAAAATTAAAATTTTTAATAAATGAGTTGTTCGATAGTCTAAGTCTTGAAGAAAACCACTTTTAAACAATTATTTAGGATAAATATGATAGTAAATGTTCACTTTTTAAATAAATAGTTGAATAAAACCTTATAATATGTTTTAAAAGATAAAGAAATAAATATGTTATAAAGCAAATTTCTCATTATGTAAAATGTTCTGTTAGGAATAATATTTTTTAAATTTAGACTATTAATCATTGTTATTATTTTTTTTTATCAATTTTTAATTATTACCCTTACGTTGAAAGAGTTACAGGGTTTAAGCTAGATTTACGGAAGCTTCCCCCGATTTTGAAGGTTTCGAACTGCACATTTTTTTAAATAAATAGTTGAATAAAACCTTATAATATGTTTTTATTTTTTATATTTTTATTATTTATGTTATAAAGCAAATTTCTCATTATGTAAAATGCTCTGTTAGGAATAATATTTTTTATATTTAGACTATTAATCATTGTTATTTTT